GTGCCCGGGGGGGGGGTGCTGCGAACCCCGACGGCCGGCACAGTAAGGGCCGTTCCCTGCTGGAAGGAGCCGCGGTAAATTAATACAGCGGCAACTCATTAATTCTGCAGAAGGACTGGTGATAATGGAGCGCGGTTCCGCACGGCTGCGCCGCCCCCCGCTGGCGGGGGGGGAGTTCGTGCCCGCTGGCACACTGGGGGAAAAACAGGCGATTTTCTATGCACGCATGAGCCTCCTGCTTGCGGATTTCTAGACAAAGACAGGCTGGTGAGGCGGTCTTGTCGTCTCCTAGCTCCAAAGGTTGGTTGGTTTTTGCTTTGTTTTGTTTTGTTGTTTTGTTGGGTTTTTTTTTTAAATTTTAAAATTTTTAAATTTTTTATTCTGGCAGACCCAATTTGCCCACGCAGGTGTGTCCCAGCGAGCTCTTGGTCCCCGGCAGATGGGCGGGGTGTGTGTGTGTGTGTGTGTGTTCACAACTGCTTTGCGAAAGCGACTCTTTCCAGCCACGCACGAAATCCATCATAGGCTGTGATGTGAAGCGATGAAGGTCAAATTAATTCGTATCCTGCACTTTCCTCTTCTGTCATCATCTCCATGCATTCACCATTTTCTTCCTGGCCAGTCACAAAACACCAGCTTCCTTACTCTGATGACAGTGCCACTGTAATGAGATGCAGAAGCTTAGCTAACTGATTTAAAAATAATTTAGAATACTTTTTTATCACTATTCCTATTCTGGGCTGGTGAGAATTTGAAGTGCCTCTTGCAAGGTGAAACCACTATGGCTTTTGGACATCATCCTGATCAATTCATCGATGTTACTAAATTCTGTTTGTGAATACTGAGCGGGCAGATGTTTGAGTCACTAAAAGTGGCTGTAGTTTATCACTGCAATGATTTGTGGGAATCTGTGAGAAACGGCATGATGCAGAGTAGAAATGTAGGCCCTTGTGGCGAGAGGGATATCATCTGACACAAATGATTGACCAGACATTTCTGTTGCTTTATACCACCACCAATAGCCTGGATCTCTGTTCCTGCTCATTTTGAGGCATATACTCCTCCTCCGGTTGCTTTGGTTTTTGTTGTTGCTTTTTGTTTGGTTTTTTTTTTTTGGTCATGGAGGGGGTGTAAAAGATTTTTTTTTTTTTTTTTTTAGTTTATTGAGGGTTACATTGTGGCGATAACATATTCTGGAGCTGCACTTCTCAAGGCTACACTTTTATTACGCGTTTGCTTTTACTCCAGGGAGGCTCCGCCTTGGTGAGACCTCAGTCTCATCTTTCTTGCAGCCTTGTGCAAGAGCAGTCTCTTTCCATGTCTGCTGTGCTACGAACCTGTTCGTGTCTTTTTATAATCACAAGTGAAATGATGCATGATTAAAAGCATGTCCTATAAAAAGCGTCATCTAGGGTTTCTTGACATGCAGTGTAAAAACAGTGAGGAACGTATTCAGCTGGTGAAAACCCACTTGGATCAGTTTTAGCACACACTGAGACAGCAGAAAACATTGTTTTGGATACTTTGAATAGACAATGTATTTTCAGACGGAAGCTGGATATGAAAGGATTTTTAAAAATACTGCGAAGTTCCAATGGTGAGTTTGTTTACTCTGCCAGCTAAAAAAGCAGACAGGAACAATATTTTCAGAAAGAGGAAACCAAGTAGGAAAGAAGTACCCACGTGTATCTTGCACGCAGGAGGCGGCCGCAGGAGCGTGTTTGTCCTGTGGTGAAATATGGCAGAAACTCTCGTACTTTCTGTGTGAACTGGAGAAGTGAAGAATGCTGTAGGGGCGTAGGTAAGGCTACGCAGTAGGCAGATCTGTCCTAGAACACCGGTCTGCTGCCGTACAGATAATTCTCACACAGATGCCAAAAATCAGGTTTGTATCTCTCCAGGGACATCAGGATATACACAGCTCCGTACGTCTCACGGCATTCAGCAGTAAAGTGCAAGGAGAGGAGTGAGAAACCGCTAGCGATGCTGTGCGTGCAGGGCAAACCGTGCCCTGGATGCCTCTCTGCTCGTTTTCCCAGGAAAAAGCTCCATGTAGCCTTGGCCTGATCAGTGTTGGCAAGTGGCACCTCTGCCTGATAGCCCTGTGGTGCGTAGTCGGGTACCAGCTAAGGGGTCGGCGCTGAGCCTGAGGCAGCTTGCGAAGGCTGCAGGGGGTCCAAGGGGCTGGGCAGGGTGGGAGACCTTTGCAGCCTCCAGAAAGAGGTTCTCCTCAAGGAAGGGGGGAGTGACAAAGCCCACTGACTAGCAGGGATCCTTGCTGCGGATGCTTCTCCCTGAGCTCCGCTCAAGACAATCTGGGAGGCTGCAGGAAAACGCTTCTCTGAACAACCCCCTGAAATGCTGAGAGCTGCCGGGTGAATTTGGGCTGTTACCAGGATGAGTGTCCTGGAGGAGACTTGGGAGGCGGTGAACAGGACAGCAGTGAAACAGCAAACAAAAGTGTGCACTAGGCCAGATTTCCCATGTGCTTCCAGACACTGTTAGATGGGATGGCACAGAACCAAAATCCCATCCATCAGGGCTCCTGGATGGCCCCTTCAGTCAGGAGGCTGGGAAGCATGGATGGTCCTTCTGGCCGTGTCTCGTCCCTCCATGAGCAATACTGCGAAGTGGTGTGGCAAGAACAATCAGTGTTTCGGGAGTCCTGCAGTGAAGGCAGAGGGGAGGTCAGAGGGGAACTTGTAATCCCACCAATATGCTCAGTATTGCCTTTTAGAAAAGATGTAGCAAACAGCGTGGATTTTGACAGTTCCCTGCAGCTATTACCAACGCGTGTCTGAGAAATTGGGAATTCCCCTGTGTTTTCCTTCAAAAGTACAGGCACACAAATGATTTGCCCACAGGGAGAGCAGGGGAGTTCAGTGCTGGACTTGCCTGCGGTTCCTGGGCCTGTTCTGCAGCTCTGGACTGTCCTCTTTGGAGGCGAGGGTGTGGATTTGAAGCTCTCACTTCACTGCCTGGGGAAGGTGGCACTTTGGACTTAAAAAGCTTTTAATCTCATCTTTTTGCTTTCATTCCTTGCTATGCTCTGTGTTGCTTAACAGTTTGGAAATGAAAATCCTTTTTATAAATTACCTGAGGAAAAAAGAGTTCCAATATAAACCTGCAAACAGTAAGTAGATTGGAAAACATTGTGCTTTTAATGAGGACAAACTCCGTTGTACTTGCACCTCAGTCCTCTACACTCCTCTGGCTCATCGCTGGCATAGTATTTCATGTGTGTTCCATTGCAGCTTTGAAAATGTGTGACTGTGCTGATTTACTTGGTGTTTGAAAATCCGAGGGTTGACTTGGCTGCTCTCCAGCTCTGTTTGATAATGGTTCTTCAGGAGGAAATGCCTAATAAGCGCTTGTGAATGAATTAGTTTCCCCTCTGGATTTGTCTTTCTTTTTCCTTCACACAGGTCTCTCAGGCAGCTGCAGAACTCCAGCAGTACTGTATGCAAAACGCCTGCAAAGATGCCTTGCTTGTTGGGGTTCCTGCGGGGAGCAATCCCTTTCGAGAACCCCGATCCTGTGCTCTACTCTGAAATCAGGTAATAAAGTCACAGATGCCCTGACAACAACTCTGATGTGAAACTCCGGCCCTAGGAAGGACTAGGGCACACGGGGATAGCTGTTTGAATGTCGTGTTCTTGGTAGCAAAGCGTTCATCACTCCCCCGCTGGCTCTACACATTGTTTTCTGTTTAAGTGTGGCAATTGAAACATGTCTCTTTCCTACAGCTCTTTCTAGAGGTGTTTTGTTGGGTTTTTTATGTTTGGTCGGTCGTTTTTTGTGTTTGAGCATCTCTAGGATCGTCAGCAGCATCCAAAATAATAAAAACTGTCTGTGACACATGGCTGTGTTTCACCCAGCCGGACATAAAACCCAGTCAACGTACCCAGCATGAAGGAGGAAGACAAAGCCACGCTGGCTGCATGTATTCTGATGACTACCTCCCAGCTGAAGCAAGACCCTTGTTAAAAAATACATTTTTGTCTTCAACATCATATTGCAGTTCATTTGGCGGTGTCCGTCTTTAGGCTTTTTCTGAGGTTACTGTCGGTTGAGCACCGAAAGGGGTGGAGGCAGAGAGGAGCTGAGGCGATCTGTAACCGCAGCCTTCATAACCTTTTCCAGCCTGGGTCTGAAGGATGAGGCGCTCCCTGCGCTCTGCCTTAGCCCTCCGGCTGCACTGCTTGTCCCTGCCGAACACCTGCAGGGTGGGCGGGCGGCCGGCCGGCGTTTGCAAATCTTTGGGGTCCGATTCCATCATTCCTACTCTTGTTTCTCCCATCTGTCGCACAGATAGCGGTGACCGCAGCTGGAGGGAGAAAGGCCATGTGTGCTAGTAGTCTTGGGCAGGATAGCACCGTGGCTTTTGTTGGAAAAATCTTACTTTTTCGGCATCACAAGGGAACATGGAAGTAGGATATTCAGAAGGGGTTACTCTTCTTTAAAAGAAAAATAAAAATAAAAAAACCTGCTGAAGAGCTGGAAAAACTACAGAGAGGAAGAACCACTGAATTCTGTTCTTTCTTGGACAGTGCTATCAAAGTGAAAATGAATGGGATTTTTTAAGGGCAGAATTTAAAGTAGCATAAAGTACTTGCAAAATCTTCCCCTTCCCGCTGCCAGGGTTCCTGAGCTTGCGCCGCATCAATAGCGCGGTTGTGGTTGTTTCTGCATAGGTTTGACAAAACAGGATTGAACCTGAAGAGAGAGAACAACTGAGCTCAAGACGGTCTTTTGGAAAAACGTGTTTTTCCAACTGCCCGAGCAGATTTTCTTAATTTAGGTGCTGCCCTGAATTCTTCCTGCAAATGAGATAAAATTGATAGTGACTGTTGCATGTGGTGTTCTGTTATTGAAGCAGCCTTTCTACTTTGTGTGTGTGTGTGTCTGTGTGTGTATGTATGTATTTCTAGGATGCAAGTTTGATTGCATCATCCAGGATTCAAAATATTTTCTCCAAAGACTTGGATGGGTAATTTGTGATACTTTTAGAAATACATAGCTCAGCCCAAGATGTCATTTAGTTATCTTTTGCTGATAGATCAATTATCTAGTTTATTATTATCTAGTTGGGGTCATAAAGATGAGAGCAAAGTCAAAAAGCCAATTAAAAAATTTTATAATATTAAAGGATGCCAACATCCAACAAAGGAAAGCAGTTGTTTTTTCTCAGTGCAAAGGAGCTTTTGTGTTATAATTCATAAGAGAAATGTACCTGCTTAGGAAGACAGCATTAAATAAACCCTTTTTTCCTCTTACAGGGAAGGTCATCGGAGAGTTGCCTTCAAGCATGACATGAATAACAACTGCCTTTCCTTCACAAGAAAAGTCTCTCTCTGTGTCTGAACTTTTGTGTGGCTAAAACAATATCCTTGATATTTATCCATTTGTTCTTGTGTATCCGTACTTCACTATCTTTTGCTAATGTTCTTAAAGTTTTTTAATGTAACTCTTACTGTTTTCACAAACGTCGCCATTCTTACTGCATTATGCTAACTATACAAATATTACTTGAGAAGTTTACATTTTAGAAAAGAAAAACACATGAATTTTTACGAAATTACCTACTCCTATCTTGGTAAACTGTTACACCGGAATAAGAGTAAAAAATATTTGTTACTTTCCAAAATAAAACATCCAGAAATGAATTGTTGAAGTACAGAAATAAGTGCTGTTAGTACTGAAGTAATGTTCTCAGAGGGAACTTTGCTTCCATTAGCAAGACCTGGAACCAATTACATTTTTTTTCATGTGCATCTAAGTCCATAAATGACACATATTGGAAACTGCTGGGTACAATGTGTAGCACGGGTTTGATTCCTAAGGCATGTTTCTTACAAGACTTGTAATCTGTAATGCTTCCCCTAATTCATGTTTGTAAAGGTACTGCTGTGGTGGAATTTCCTTGGCGTGTTTAAAATGTGACCAAACAGACACTAAAAATCCGTGAACACCCAAAGATAGTTGCATGCATAACTGTCGAGGTTTGCAATACACAAAACTCACTAAAATGTGCTTGGTCGTTTGCCTTCATTTTTTTATGGAGCACTTTTACAAGGACAACTAACTTTTTTAATATGTTTTTAATTTTGTCTACTTTCTATTGTTTGTTTTATTCTTT